CTTGTGGTCCGTCATAGATCAAACCCACCAAGAGGGTATTAAAGTACTATTTGTTGAACTAAATTCAATCGATCCTTTTTCTCTTTGACTCAGAAGAGATTCCAATCAGGCTAAGAGCTTATCTAACACCAGCACACCATACAAAGAAGAGGGGGGACAGTGATACCCTGATTTCCTTCTGGGCCCAGGCCGAGTGGTAATCGGTTTAACCAGGGTAGAGAGGGGCTGACTCCCCAACCTACTTTTAAAAGTCTGACACTTCTGAGTAAGAGCTCATGACTATGGGGTGAGCCCTGTAAGGTAGTGGTTTTCGATCAGGGGTGATTTTTCCCACCAGGGGACATTTAGCAGTATCTGGAGATATTTTTGGTTGTCACACTGGGACAAGGGGGATGTGCTACTGGCATCCAGTGGGAGGAGGCCGGGGATGCCGGTAAGTATCCTGCGACGATGCAGAGGGCAGTCCTCCACAGCAAAGAATTGTCCAGCCCCAAATTCAGTAGTGCTGCTGGTAAGAAACCCTGAGTGAGGGGGCGTGTGTATCAGCCAGCTCACAGGACAAAGGCTGCATTCTTAATTACCTGAAAAATGAATGCTTTGGGTCGGGTGCAGTGGCTCCCACTGTAACCCTAGCACTGTGGGAAGCCGAGGCGGGAGGATAGCTCGAGGCCAGGAGTTCGAGACTAGCCTAAGCAACATAGCAAGACCCCATCTCTACAAAAAATATAAAAATTAGCTGGCGTGGTAGTGCACGCCTGTAGTCCCAGCTACTCGGGAGGCTGAGGCAAGAGGATTGTTTGAGCCCAGGAGTTGCAGGTTGCACTACGCTATGATGACGCCACTGCACTCTAGCCTGGGCAGCAGAGCGAGACCCTGTCTCAAAAAAAAAAAAAAATGCTTTAAAGGTCAGGGTGTTTTCAGGGTTCCATACAAACCCTGCATTCTGACTCTTTTAAAAAATTTAAACAAACACCAGTTACAAATTGCTTTGGGGTATGAAGAAGAGCACAGTAATCATGAAACAAACACTTTGCAGAATCAGGGTGAAAAGAACTTAACTGCTACTCTTCATCTAGACCAGCACTACTCAGGAATATACAACACTGTGTGAGCCACACATGCAAGCCTCAGATATTATTTTTAAATTCCCAGTTAGCTATATAAAGAAAGTAAAAAGAAAACAGGTGAAGTTAAGTTTAATAATAGATTCCATTTAACTCAATACATCCAAAACACTATATTATAGGCATGAGCCACTGTGCCCGGCCTTTGATTTTTGCCTTAAAATGATAGTATTTTGGGGCCAAAACTTAGCTTTGATATTAAAATGATAGTATTTTGGGGCCGGACACTGCGGCTCATGCCTTTAATTCCAGTGTTTTGGAAGGCTGAGGTGGGAGGATCACTTGAGCCAAGGGAGCTCAAGACCACCTGGGCAACACAGCAAGACCCTGTCTCTACAAAAATTTTTTTTAAAAATCAGCTGGATGTGGTGGGGTGCCTGTAGTCCCCACAACTTGGGAGGCTGAGGCCAGAGGACCCCTTGAGCCCAGGAGTTTGAGGCTGTGATCTGTGAACTGTGATCGCACCACTGCTCTCCAACCTGGGTGACGGAGTGAGACCCTGTCCCTTAAAAAAAAAAAATGCATAATTTGCCCCAATTTTGATTCTGCATGTCTGGAATGGGAGCCAAAAATCCACAATTTTAACATTTGCCTAGATACGACGATTTATTCTAGATCATTGACTTGTTTGAGAAACAACACGTGCATCTCAGTCCCTCGCAGTCTAGCCCGAAACCACATTACTACACAGGCCTGTCTTTTGTTTTGCAAAGAAGGAATGAAGAATTCCTCCCATGAGAGAGCCTCGCATAGCTGTACAGATCCCCAGGAAAACGGAATTTTCCTTCACCACTTATTACTGAACTACATATGTATTTATGTTTTGAAAACTTAATACACCTACAGGTAATGTTTTCCTGTTTTCAAGAAGTTTTACTTCCTCAATCATCTGCAAATGTGCTAAGGGAGACTCGGTGTACTTACTGTAGCCCCACACTCTCGAACAGGAAGCAACAATCTTGTGACTGAGAACATGCCACAGAACCGTACTCAAACGAGTATGACTCCATTTTTATGCCGTCGGTTGTTAGCTAAAGCGATCCTAAGATTGCTACTAATTCTTCACATCCACTGCCTATGTTCTTATCTTCAGTTTCAACTCCGTAACAGATAAACTCATAATAAGTGAATTTGCATCCATCAGTTCAAAATTGCCCTTTTTGAGGGCAACAAGGAAGGAGAGTTGTGGTAAAAATGATGGCTTAGGGCCCTCCATGGTCTCACCTGTATCCATCCTCAAGACCACTCTGTTCACAAGGAAACGATCTCTGAGAGAAGGTCCACGTGCACCTGATCTGGGGGTACGCTTTAAACCTGACAGAAAAACAGAACTCTTCGTATTGGTCAATTTCATAATCTTCACTTGAATTGGTAGCATTTATAAAACCCTTTTCTGTAAAAAAAAAAAAAAAAAGAATTTGTAAATTAGATAATGAGATTCTCATGGAAATATATTGAGAAGATAAACTTTTATTCATCAGTTTAATGCATGGAAAGTCAGATGTTGGCAGGCTGCAACACGGTCAGAGTTGACAGTCCAGAGCAAATACAGGAGTCCTACGCCTGGGTCTAAGCCTGAGCTCATAATCTTTTAAAGTCAAGATTCCTTTAAGAACGGAATATAAATAATTGACTGTCTTCCTAGAGAAATGTATAAATAAACCTACAGATTTTGCAGACAATTTCAAGAGGCTAAAGGGCTCCCCTACTCCCATGCACACACTTGGGGTCCCCTAACAGAGTCTGGAAGCCCCTGCTCTCAGCCAGCACAACTCTGTTGTGACAGGTCCCATAAAAAATAACCTCGAGGCACAAATAAAAGAGCAATCCGGCTGGCAGTATTCGCAAGGTTTCCTTATGGAACACTTCCTTATCATTTGCTAAGAGAATCACTGCATTTCTTAGCATTTTCATTCCGGCTAAAGGCTGCACCGCAATCTGAGATTACTTAAACGTGGGTATTTTCAAACCCTACATAGCCCGCCCAGATTTCAGTGCATCTCAGGGCTTGTACTGTTCTCTCAGTGACTGCTCACGGCCCTTGCAGTCGCTTGATTCTTAGAGCAAGTATTTATTAAGCGCCTACTTTGGGTCAGGCTTTGTTGCCCGGTTCTGGGACTAGAAGGATAGAAGGGGCTGTCCCTGTCCTTAGGGAACTTACAGTTTATTGGAGGACAAAAGTCCACAAATGCACTGTCATATCACAATGTGCTATGTGCAAAGACAGTGGCATTTCAAGTAGGTCTGGTTGAAGTGGAAAAGGGCGTGGGCAGCTTATCTTTGCAAAGCTATTCTAACTCAGTTGTGGGTTTTTTTTAGCTTTTTGATAGTAACATTAAATTGAAATCAGAATTTGCATTACACGCCTCACATTCCACACTAAAGCAACTAAACATATGAGTAAAGGTTGCGTGAGCAGCCTGCCTTACCTAGGATGGTAACCAACGCTGACCGGCTGGGATGCTTTGAAGAGGAACAAGTGTAGTATCCAGTGTCGTTTCTTCCCACGGACGATACAAAAGCGAACAGAATCCGTATCATAGTTCTGTTTGCCGAATAGGCACTCATCTCAAAGTAGCTGCCCTAGGTTTTAATAAAACAGAGTTTGAATTTAATGTTTGCAACCTGTGCTGTTAGTTAATCGTTACTGCATTTCAGAATACAAACTGTCCTCTTACCTCCTTGAGGGCTTTGTTTTCCAATTCCCAGGTGAGCCCGAATCCATGGTTCACGTGGACAGCTTTACACCTTATCCACAAGGGTTCGCCCACTTTAAGAAACAGTTGTGGCAGAGTGGTCTGAGGAGTTTGATTTAAATCTAGAAGATGAAAACATCCTGAGTCAGAAAAAAAGTTATTTTTCCTTATCACAAAATATATCCTGAACATTCTGAAGAACAAAGATTTTTGGCATCATCTCAAATGTCACTAACCACGTTAGTGAAGCAATCTTTTGGAGATTGCCTCCTCTTTTATGAAGAATCGGCATTTACAGAATCCATAATACTACATTTAAAATGGTGTGAAGGAACGAACTATAGACTTTCTGAAATTGAACGATCACCTACGCGGTCACCGTTAGTCCCCCACAGCTTCTAAAGCCTGGTCACTGAAGTACCAGCACGTGGTATCGCAGCCTTACCTATTGTGAACAGCTGGGTGCACGCGCTGCCCAGCTCATTTCTTGCGCAGCACCTTATATCGGTTCCAAATAATTCACGAAGTACCTTCTCCTTCTTTTTAACAACAGCTGGACTCTCTTCTTTACAGCTGCAATTAGAAAGTAGATGCCATTCGGCTTAACAGGTTTTAAAAAATGACAAAAGAACGTGCAGGAGAAGAACAAAGTTCAAGGTTCTAGAGCCAGTGTGAGGGGAACAAAGAAAAGAGCAGGCCAAGAAACAAACAAGCCCAAATCTGTGGTTTCAGCAGAGGCTCACTAGGGAACCAGTTACTCATTATTATCTCGACTCATAAGAATACCGCTAGTGAGAATTACACAATAAAACACTTGAAAATTTTTCATGTGTGGTGACCTCTTTTCGTTGTTGTTGTTTAAAGACAGGGAAAGAAAGGAAGAGTTGAAGAAGCCAGAGGAAAGGAAGAAGAAAGAGAGAGAAAAAGCATGATGTGGGCTTTAGTGCAGTTTTCCAAGGCGGGTGTTTTTTCTTTAAAGCACCGAAGTGTACAGTCAGCTAGGGGAGAGGCTAACGTTGCAAAAGTCACCAGAGTTCCCACAGCAAATGGAGAAGGAAAGTCAAGGTGTCACTATCCAGGGAAGTTGGCCGAGACCCTCTCAGTATTCAAGGAGCAACGAGAAAATGGACTTAGGTTCCTGACAGAGTTTCCCTGGCTACCCCTTTCCAGAAGCGGATAATGGTTTCGGAGTTTGCATGGAGTCACTCTTCTCTTTACCATTTTCGTCAAGCGTATTATTTTTCTTTGTTTATGTATCTTTCCTTGAGTTATTTTTTCTTATTACAAGACAACAATAATTAGAGTCATTGTAGAAATTTTGGACAATACAGAAAAACCCAAAGAAAAGAATTTTAAATTATCCATATTCTTACCACTTTGAGATAACAATGGTTATTATTTTGGTGTTTATCTTTCCAATCTTTTTTTTCTATGTACACAGTACATATATCTATAATCTCTTTTTCTCCTCTAAAATTTGGGATTCATTCCTATCACTCAGTAACCTGATTTTTTACATTTTCTCCTTCTATTTAATGTAGTGATGCGATCATAGCTCACTGCAGCCTCAAACTCCTGGATTGAAGGGATCCTCCTGCCTAAGCCTCCAGAGTAACTGAGACTACACCATGCACTCCACCATGCCTGGTTACTTTTTAAATTTTTTTGTAGAGAGGGAGTCTCACTATGTTGCCCAGGCTGGTCTCAAACTCCTGGGCTCAAGTGATCCTCCTGCTTCGGCCTCCCAAAGTGCTGGGATTACAGGTGTGAGCCACCATGCCCAGCCCACTTTCCAGTAAAAGTTGTTTAGTAAATTTTAATTAGTTCAAACTGCACGAATTGTTACTTTGTGAGAACTTAGTTAGCTATGGCACATATGAAAAACAAAAGTAAATGTTTTTACCACACTTAATTGTCTGCCAGGCACTGTTCAATGTGCTTTACATATATCAATCCATTTAACCATCATAGCAATCCTTAAGGTAAGTACTTGTTACCATCCTCATTCTTCTGATGAAGCACAGAGAGATTAAGTAACTTGTCCAAGGCCACACAGCAAACAAGGGTTCAACTCAGGCTGTCTGGCTCTAGATTCTCTATCTTTAAATAATCCTATTAGACTACTTCTCCAGAACAAATAGAATAATCCCAAATTAAACATTTAGTCACAGGAAATTTCTGACTTAGAATTACACTTTAAAATCAGTATCTTTCTATTTTTCCCCAGCAAGATTCTCAGGGAGCCAACAAACCTGCAACTTAAAAGCACTTTTATTTGTGTAGTGCAGTGCCCAGGGAAGACCCTGCAGTTGAT